CTGACCTTCCAGACGGGATCTCGCCCTTTTCCACCGCCGAAAAACCAATAATTATATTGTAACGTGTTCCGGAATTCAGGTTTCCTAATTTTACCTGAACGCTTAGAAATTCCGAATAAAATCGTTTGGTTATTTTCGTATTTCCTTGTTTGTCGAGTACATCGTAATTGTGCTTCATTAACCAGTGCTATTTTTTCACTTTTCATCCCTTGCCCCGGCTCCCGTGTGATTTTGGGGTTTGCTTTTAGTCACTTCGTTTAATGCGAGCAACTGGACTGATGCCGTTTGTCATATTTATCTCTCCCCCGGAACGAGTGGACGAATTGCGTCGTTTGCAAAAACAACTTGGCCTGAAAGTGAACTGCTCGGTACGTTTTCATACACTCTTCTAACTGGATCCTTTTTCACCTGTATCCCCTTCGACGGGGAGCATTGTTTCGCTACGGAGCACAGCTGCCCGAAAGATTGTATTTGACTCTCACCGTAACTTACCTATGTATTCCAGTAAAATTTAGTTTTTTATGTGTCACTGTCATCGGTTCACCTGTGGTGTAGCTGGATAGCCCTTATTGATGATTATCCGGAGAACTAGTTTCCTCTCCTCAAATCACATCTCACCCACTTACGATCCTATCAACCGAGATTCTCGTTTGCGGACCATTGGTGTGAAACTGTTGAATTGCGCATGCTGTCCAGATCAGGTGGTTTCGTTTTAGATACCCCTGAGATGTTAGGCTACTTGATATCTGTAGCCAGCAAAATTCTACGCTAAGGGCTTCGCCTCAGGACTCGAAGGCCAAAAAATAGTGAGGTATTGATTCATTGAATACACCATCACGGATGATCAGTGGCGCTACCTAAGAACGTGATGGGTTTTCGCCTAGCAAACCACAGCTTTTCTCGTACCACGTTCGAGTTTGATCCGTCACCAAATAAGATCATAGACATCACTCTGTTACCTTACAGGTAACATATGGCTGTGCACGAGCTAGACATTTATCCTCAAATAAAAAAGGTAAGTGGACTTGGGTATGCGTATCATGTTCCTAAGATTTTTGGAAAACCAACTTTTCCCCATTTAGGCTAGAAATTTGCCTAGAAGCAAACCTTATGGTATTTAGTCTAAGTGCAATTTGAGCGTTTTGTGAACGGGCACTATCGACTTTGCGCGTTCTCAGTGGGAATGGCTGCTCGCTATGGTAGCCCGGTGGTCACGTCACCACATTACCACCTCGGGGGACGTGTGTTCGAACCCCACCACCATCGCCTAACTTTCCCCATGGAAGCCCTTTGATTGACCGCTTCTCCCTTCTTGAAGATTGTATCATTATGTATTCAATAAAAGGAAGTAAAATTAGAAAAAAATCAAATCCGAGGATACTGAACTTTTCACAATTTTACTAGTCACTTACCGACGTGCTTTAGTCTGAGGTTGGAGCCCCGCCACCACCCAACTTTGGTGGTAGGAAGCTTTGTTGTCGTCCGGTTCACTACCAAGTCTGACCTATCGGGGTCTTATGTGGTTCGCCACTCCAAGTCCCGGGGCTTAGGTTACCAGTTTCGATCACTAAACAGGTCCTCGTGACAATGGGGTCCACTCCGTCTGCTGTTCATCACACTAAAAGTGTGAAGTAAAAAATAAAGCATAAGATCTAAATCTGCCAAACAACAATTTGAGTCTTTACTATTCGGTAAATAATTGTGTTTGCTGTTGGTCGGGGCTCACAGCTATTAGTCGTTGTTGATTTAAATGAATCATATTGATCTCCATTATTAGGGATTCAAAGTGATTGCCTTTATCCATATTCTATGTGTCTGTCTGTAAATAATGACAAAGGTCTACATGCATCGTCTAACAGGATTCCAAGATGGAAGTGATTATTTAGCACCTGATGAATACCTAGTGTTAGACGATGATCCATTAGCAACAGCATCTTGGTGTAGCACTCGCGCACAAAGATGAATTAGAGCTGCTAACTTCGAGTATTTTATTCAGACTGTGTGATTATACTACTGTTTTAAAGTTTACTATCTTACTACAGTTCGGAGATGATGACGCGGCTTCAGAACCCCGTAACATGATAATCGAGTGTGCAGTGTAGTGTGATCATGCCTGAAATTTAATGTAACAGATCTTCCCACCGTCACCCCGCTTTGTTCAAAGATTTATCGTTAGCTTTGGTGCAGCCAAGTGTGAGCTACGAGGCAGCAATGTGTTTGGCAATTTATCGAGAGTGAGTTCGTTATCACATCGAACTCGCTAGTTAGGAAACGTATTGCGTAAGAACAACTGTCCTCTACCGCACCGCGCCTTGTTCGTTATTGCCGCTCCGGAGCAAAGGAAACCAGAAGATGCCGTTGAGGCGAAGCATAAAGAAATACACAGAGTGGTTAGTTAGAGTACGTGCCTCTAGTCTTTCGGGTTTTAGTCCAAACGATTCTATGACTTGTTGGTTGGAGACATTGAAAGACATGGCAGCGAACTGACAGCAGTGGCGTTCTTGTTGTCATTTCATATCATGCCAGAATGTTTGAACGGGTATGTAGATGTTAGATTGTCTACTCTGTATGTTGACCAATAGAACTTTACTTCCCCCCTTTCCCAAAATTCGCCTCAATCCCTGTATGCCTTATATGTTCTGATTAATTCTGTATGCATTGGAAGTTTGGCTGCGATCAGCAAAGTTCACTTCATTGTATTTCGCTGTATGATGATTGTGTGTTCGTGCGTGATTTCCGTGTCAATTCCGCGGCGCTCATTCGCCATTTATTATACGTAGGCACGCACCCCAAGGATCCATACATTCCTTTAGGCTGGACAGACTTCTCCTATAAGCAATGAATTTCGTTCACCCAATAAAAAAAATGGATGTTTTCGTCTCGTTTAACCTGAACTCGGTTTGAGTCACCTGCCAAGGTTTGGTCGCTGGTGCATGCGCGGGTGAGAGTTGAATAGGTGATGCAGGATGCTCCGAAAGGCAATAGTCCGATCCCTCCAGATACCTGTTATACTGTTTTACCTCTGGGGAGCACTTTGACCAAACAATCAAGGAACCTAAGTCGAATAGACGGAGCCG